ATATACCCTAAGGCTGATCCGTCTTGTTCTTCAGCTCCTTGGGAGGATGAGTCCTCCCAAACGTTGAAATAAGACAGCCTTTTCCTCACACACCTTGGCCAAGCAGAGTGGGCAGTTGCCAGCTGGGATGCACTGAGATTTCTGTCTTTGCTGTTCAGTCCTGAGTTCATGAATCAGGTGTCTCGAGCTGGGCTCCACAGAAGCGGACCCTAAGATAAGGAAGTGAGTCACAGCAGTTTGAGAGGCGACCCTTGGAATCACCCATTAACTAGAGAATTAGTTATGCTCCCGCCTATGCAACCGAGGCCACAAGGGCAGGATCCATGTCTGCACCTGTTCAGTCCCACGTTGAGAAGGGCAGTGGCCTCATGGTTAACGGCATGTCAAGGATCTTGCTCACTCATCCTAGAAATAGTTTCTCCAGGCTGGAAAGTCTGATATGACATGTATGACAAACAGGATGTGGATTTCCTGAAGGACCTGGGGCCTCTGGTCAGTGGCGTCAGGGCAAAGTGGCGTGAGGAGATGTTTCCTCCCCTGATGAATCACTTAAAACGGGGTGACTCGAATCAAGTGTTTTGTGGGTAGAGACAAAAACCCTTGTTTCTGCCCATAACCATGAATCCGTGATCTGAGTTAGGTTTTGTGTGAGCCACTGGCTTCAGGGGGACATTCTTACACCTGGGGAGTTTCACAGGCAGAAGCTTTCTCATGAAATCTGCACAGTCCCAGAGGGTGTTACAGGAGGCTGCTCCTCCCAAATGACCCTGAAAGCTAAAACCAGTAAAGAAAGCCAACTAGACATGGCACCTGCATGCCCACTTACCCACAGCAGTGTGGGTGGCCTTTTCCTTTGGGGTTAAAAGGACGCAGAGCAAGGTCTCCATGGTTCCCCCTCACTCTGAGTGAAGGAAGTAGGGTGTGAAGTCCAACCAGAGGAGGAATCACCTGAATTTATTTTATTTTTTTTTAAAGAAAGCACTGGGTTGTGGGTTGAGCCTTGTCTTTGTCTTTGAGCCCTGCCTGGTAGATTTCCAGAAAGACCCCAAGCAGCTACAGAGACCTGCTGGCTTGCTGCTTGACCCTGCGGAGTTCTCCTGTCTCTATGTCTGTGCTAAGCTTTGTGCTCTCAGAGGGAGGGCCAAGGCCATTCCATTCCTGCACAAAGTGTGTGAGGACACACCAGTGGCCTTTTATAGGTGGGCGAGCCTAGAGAGGCAGAGGCAACAGATACAGTCCCATAAGTAAAGACAGGCGACATGCAGGAGCACCTAAGGTCTGCTGACAGCATCTTGGAAACAGCCTGTGGTGTGACCATCAAGTGAGAAAACGGGGAGAAGGTGCTCTGAGGCCTGTAGGGTGAGGCACATGCCAGGAGACCCTGCAATCGCCTAGAAGAGCAGAGCCCCCCCAACCTTTCATGTGCGTCCAAGGCACCTGGGCATCCTGCTAAAATGCAGATTCCCATTCTTCATGTCCTAAATCTTGCTCTTAAGTAAGGCAGACTTCATTTAAATCAAATCAAATTGCAAATTTGGTTTCTCTGCGTCCTGGCCGCAGAGCCGTGCCTGACTTGGGTGACTGCTCTGGACAGTCTGGGGACACTTTGGCCATTGGAGAAAGTTGTGCATGTTGTGGGGCTCTGGCTTGGAGTAAGACAGTGTGTGCAGAGTTGCCATGTCAACGGCAATGCCATCTTGTACCTCAGTTATCCTAAGAGGATTTGGATGTAGCTTCATTAAGAGTCAGACCGTGGAGGTGTGGGAGAAAATTAAAACACCTGTCAATTTAATTTGAGTCCATATTCTTGAAGAACTCATTGAAATCAGGACTTCTAATTAATCTTGTCTGTCCCATTTTTCACTTGAGTAAATGACCACAGTGTAACAGCGATTGAAATATGGTGCCCTTTCCTGATTCACGCCTATTGGATCCTGTGCTTCGAGTCTGGAACCTAGAGGAGCTTTTGTTGCCTGCCTGAGTCCACGCAGAGCTGAGTCGAAACCCTGCTCAGACATGTCCCTGCTCCCCCTCTCACTTCCACTCTGCTCCCAGTCTGCCTCTCCTAATCTATGGCAAATCTTTGAGGCTGTTCAGTCTACTTTCAACTTCTTTCTTCTCAGATCCATCCTCCCCACAGTTGCTCGAAAATTGAAAATTAGTTGTCATCAGACTAACTTTACAATGTGCATAATGGACAATGTGATAAAGCAGGAAACAGAAAAACAGCTCGTACTGGATGGGAGAAAACCGCCACATTTGCCAGCACTATGATTGGATACCCAGGGAAGCTCAGGAGGATTCAGTGAAAATCGATTGGAGCCACCCTCCTCCAAAAAGTTCAGGAAGTTGGCCAGATTGTGCTTAAAATAGGGCATTTTCCTCTAGTGGCAATAGCCAACTAGAAAATGTATGGGAACCAACTGTGGTGACTGCCTGGAGCCGAGGGACGCGGCAGGGAGAATGTCCCCATGCCGCTCATTCTCCGGGACTCTGCAGCCAACAGGCTTCTCCGTCTCTGGGGGCAACTCTCTCGGTTCAGGTTTCCTGCTGCCCGGCTGGAGAGGCTTCATCCCAGCCCAAAGGGCCATCTCACCGCTGACCCGAGCCCCCATGTGCAGTGTGCACGTGGCGGCTTGGGTGAGGTGCAACTGGGTTATCTCAGTAGCAGCCGCCAGTGGAAGCAACAAACAAACACAGACCTGATTCCAACAGCACCTGCCAGTGAGTTCCCACCAAAGGCAAGACGGCACCTGCCTCCTGAGTGCTTCTGCCTCTCGAGTGCTCCTGCCTCCTAAATGCTCCCGCTGACAGCCACACCATATTGTCTGCCTCCCCCTTCAAAGCCCTCCAGTGGCCTCAGTTTAGACCTCCAAGCCTGTGTCAGGCTGGGCTGTGCCCTGAACTGTGTGCCTGCAGCCATTCCCCACCCACACCCAACCACTGCCCACAGCGGCCTGTGCTGGGGGCACCATCTACCAGGGAGCCGCACCAATGCTGGAGCAGGCCAGAGGGACTGGAGAGCTGACACCCCAAGGAGCAGCCTCACAGACGCCGGGGTGTGTGGCTCTGAGAAGCGCTATGCATCCTCTTAGGGTCCCCAGTGACTGAAACCCCGTGGCCCCACTCAGAGCCCTTCTGTGGACTCCCCTCCCCACCCTGTCTCACTGCCCCACTCCCTTGGGGCCTCCTGAGAGACCGCCTCCCAGGTTACTCACAAGCCCTCAACTCCTTGTCTTGGGGTTGGCTTCTGGGTGACCCTTCCTGAGATGGATGTTTCTCGAAGCGTTTTAGCTTCCAAGCCCCCTATGCAGTGGGCTGTAAATGCCCTCTTGCAAACGCCAGGTCATGCCCCAGCCTCAGGGAGTAAGTAGATTGTCAGGGCTGAGTCAGTGCCCAAGGTCACACAGCAATTATTAGCTAGAGTCCCAGCTAGAACCAGTGTCTGACTTGGAAACCCTAAGACTGACTTTTGAATAGGTGGAGGTGGAGCCTCGGAACTGAGGGGAGGAGTCAGGCACAGAGGGTGAGAGACCCAACAGCAGCCTCTGCTTCCTGATTTCTGACGCTCTTCTGATTCCATGTTTGTTCTGGGTTCCTTAAAACAAGGCCAGTCCTGCAGGTGGGCAGGGCGTGTGGTGGGGACGGAGCCTCTCCAGTCCGAAGTCAGAGGCCCAGAGTTTCAGAAGGGCTTGGGGTCTTTCCTTGCATCTGGAATTAAAACCTCCCCCGGCTGAGGCAGATGGATCACCTGAGGTCGGGAGTTCGAGACCAGCCTGACCAACATGGAGAAACTCTGTCACTACCAAAAATACAAAAACTTAGCCGGGTGTGGTGGCCGTGTGCCTGTAATCCCAGCTACTCGGGAGGCTGAGGCAGCAGAATCGCTTGAACCTGGGAGGCAGAGGTTGTGGTGAGCGGCAATTGCACCATTGCACTCCAGCCTGGGTAACAAGAGCAAAACTCCATCTCAGAAAAAAACCAAACCAAACCAAACCCTGCCCCTGGGGAAGCTGTGTCTATGCGGCGGAGTGAGCACAGCCCTGCTGGGAACCTGGGCCCCGGCCTGGCTGCCTTCCGATGTCCCAGGGTTAGCTCTGGGAACTCAGACTGCTCCCAAAAACGGGGGAATTGCAGGCCGGAGATGCAGGCCCGGCGGGGGCGGTGGGGGGCGCCTCCCTCCTCCACATTCTAGCTTGGAAACACATTGGCAACCACAGGGAGGCCATCAGCAGAGCCTGCATTTCCAGGCAGACAGTGCGGAAGGAGATCCATGCTGAGCCTTTGATTAGAAAACAGATGCCTGGGGCGAGGCCGAGGGAGGCTGTCCTCAGACCCGTCTCCTGGGGCCACTTCCCCATTCCTCCTGGCAGTTCCTGGGCAGTATCAATATTGTGCGTTTATGTTGCAGATGAAAGTGTCGCACTGTCTTTACTTTAGAGAGAAGACATTTGAAACAGTTGCCTTTCGACCAGAACCCGCTACGGCACTTGATCCAGGTCCCCTTTGGTGTGGCTGCAGGTGCTTTCCTTCTGACTTCTGGAGCAACAGCTAGAAAATAAAATGGCTTATGTGCCTAATTGCTTTGTTCTTTTAAACCTATTAGGCTGGTGCAAATGTAATTGCGGTTTTTGACATGACTTGCGATGGCAAAACCGCAATTACTTTCGTACCAACCTAAATGTTTGGGCTTTGGAGCTATTTTAGCCACCTCCCAAACCTGCTGGCATCATTAATAAATCCCCTTATTCACGTGACCATAATTCACATCCTCCTTCTCACACTTGCTTTCCTGGCGTGCTGGGAAGGGAGAGGGAAGCATGGGGTGGAGACGCCACAAGGGCACAGAGAGCCCAGGGTGGAGATGCCGAGATGGCAGAGGCGCCCGCTGCGGGCTCTGTGGGCTGCGGTTGCTGCCTGGAGTCCTCCAGTCACAGAATGAGCTAAATGATTCTTGAAGTTCGGTTATTGCATTTTAATGACTTAATATCTTTGTTTAGCAGCAGAGCTTTGCAGACTGGGGCTGGCTGAGACACAGCCTGGGCTGGACGGAGCAGCTTCCAGAGGAGAACAGACAGGTGCCACGTGGTCAGGGGAACCCCCATGGAGTCCGAGGTGGCCGTGACTGTGGATGCCCCACGGTGAGCCTGAGTCCAAGGGAGCAAAGGAGAGGACCTGTTTGGCTGCGTTAAAACAGTAGGAACGTTCTGAAATCACAGAATTCTTATGAGAAGAACTCGTCATCCAATACCCAACAGAAGCTGCTCCTGCCCCCGTCTTCACAACTGAGGGCTCCATCCTCCGTGATCCTTGATAGATCAACTCTAGGGTTGCGGATGTTCTTGGTAGAGCGGAACGTGTTTGCTGTTTTTCCAAAAGCTGTTTTTTAAAGACATCTGTAACACACAACACACCTTCTTTTAAACCGCAGTGAAAACTTGATTGCAAAAATGGGCCTCGCGGGAACCTTCTCAATATTTTACATTTCTTCGGATACTTTTCAAAGCCCCTCTGTTTCTCCACCTTTCCTTTCTCATCTGGTCTCAGCCGGCACCGCGTAGCACAGAGGTGGACCGATTTCCTCAGGACACCACAGCCAAGGGTCGGAAAACCAGGTTTCCTGAGTTTCAGTTCAGTGTGCCATCCACGACTGTAGTGACAGGCATCGTGTCTTTCTCCTTAAGAAAAAAAGAAAAATATAGATAAATCACTGCTTTCAGGTGAAGGATTTTAAAAAGCTTGCAATACCTGTCGTCATTTTTATCTGAAATCATAAAGATGTGAAATTTGTGAGCTGACGTGTAAATGTGCATCTGAAAAGCTCTTGCACACAAGATGACAGGGTTGATTTCTGGCTTTGGTGTCCCCAAACCTGAGCACAGGCAGTCCTGTGGCTGCCTGGTGGCCCTCTTGCCCTGTGAGCTGGGGACACCGGTGTGATTCCTTCTCTCCTGGTGGCCCCTGGCTGCAGCCCTTCGGGACCTGGCCTTCTGGCTGTGCCCGTACTCTCCTCCCCAACTCCTGCCGCGTAGATGGGGACAGTGGGGCGAGTAGCTGGTCCCTCTTGACACCGTCCTATGACCTGAATTTACTGTGTGAAATCATCGCTTTCGAGTCCATTTTGAAATGTCAAGGAATGAGAAAAGCCTTGAATATTTATAAATGTTGGGACCCACTTGCAGGAACTCTTAAAGGGGAAAGACGTCAAATGCAGAGATGTGGAAGGAGACCGCCTTGTGCTTCTTTAAATAGAGAAGGTGCGGCAGCTGAAGTGGCAGTTTCGGGGCTTCCAGGGAGCTCTTTTCCTGGCGCCTGCTAAATGTTAATCTAGAGTTGGGCATGAGCGTGAGGCGGCAAGGCGCAGCCCTCTACCTTCCTTCCATGCCTCCTCCCTCTCGTGCGCTCTAACTCTCCAATTGCTTTAAAATATTTAGAAGGGACATGCTATATTATTTAAAAGCTAGATTGGCTCACTGACCTGGAGGGCTCAGCCTAGTTAGCGGAGAAGCCCCACTGAGGCACAGGCGTGGTATGGCAGGGGGCTCAGAGGCAATTGAGTTAGGAAGCAGGAGAGGAAAGGGGTGGCCACAGAAACTCTGAATTCTTGGTCGAGGAAGATGACTTTGTTTGGGAGAAACTAGTTCTCAGAATATGCAGCATTCAGATATCAGAGGTATAACTTTCAGTTTGTTCCTGAATAATTGGTCAATGAAGAAAGCTAGGACAGAGGAGGTTAGGAGCTGTGCAGGCCTGGGCGGCCTTCAGGAGGGAGAACCAGTGACAGCATCACTAGGCTTGTGCTCTGTGCCAGGCATGCTCCATGCAATCCCTTGTTGATCTGTGATGAGGGGCCACAGAGCGGGCAGATGGGCACCCAAAGCTGAAGGCTCATGTGTGGTGGAGCCGGGACAAAGCTGAGGTTACTGTCTCCACAGGGGCATCCCTCGGTGGGCATCTGTGCAGCTCACCAACTCTTGCTGGCACTGCGCCTCCAGGCCACAGCAGGACATTCCCTGTCCCTGAAAATGTTAGGGGTGGCCACGTGACTTGCTTTGCCAGTGAAATTGGTGAGAAGTAACCTGGTGGAAACTTTAAGAGCTAGTTTCTGACTTGCTACTTCCTGTTCCCACAGCTCAGCAGGAACCAGGTTGTGAGGATGGTGCCTTCCTCAGGGTGGGACCCCAGTGGGGGCGAGAAGCAGCAGGGCCCTAGCCCCCAGTAGTGGCTTTTGTGTGATTGAGAAGTAAACCTTTCTTTGTTTTAAGCCCCTAGGATTCAGGGGGATGTTTGTTAATGCAACAGAACCCACTTTTCCCTGACTGATACAACACCTAACCTTACACCATGAATTAGAAATACATGTCTGAAGCATAAGAGGCTTAGAGATCATTGGATTCAACCCCCCATTTAGTAGCTGAGAAAATGCAAATGTCCATAATCTTGGCCAACATGCTTATCTGTGACCAGAGCTGTGACGATGGAACCCTCGTCCCTTTGGGAGTGGTCTAAGGTTTGGAGACCTCAGTCTGGCCAGTACTTCCCCCACCACCTCAATAGTCTTGGCCTTTCCTCTCATTTTGTGCCCCTAGAGGAGCCCCCACCCTCCACACCCACCCGTTAGGTCTTTCCTACTTCATAGATTTTCACCTTGGCCTTCCTGCCTTTTCCTCCTTCTAAGCCACAGGGTTGACCCAGCGAGGGCTTAGCGTCAGGTGCAGTTCCACGGGGCTGGTTGGGGGTGGAGGCAGAGAGGGTTCGAACCCCTGATGTGTTCAACAGAAGAGCAGAACAGGGAAGTCTATGTCTTCACTGGCCTGAGACTATCTCCAGAAATACGATGGAGGTTCCTGCCCTGCCTCCCTCTTTCTGTCCAATCTCACCAAAACCTCACATTTTCTACAATTCAAATCTGTCTGTCCTTTGTCTAAAATGCAAAGGTCTCCCTCTTGGGTCACAGGGGTCCAAGGATGTCACAGAATTCATGGCCCCGTCAGTGGACAGCAGCTCTTCTGCTGCCCGGACTGCACCTGCAGAAATGCGGACAGTGGTGAGTGGGGCAAGCAGAGCTCGGGGTTGGGGTGCTCTCCTCAGCACTCAACTTAGAGAGGGGAGAGAGGGAGGGGCTTGAGCCGTGATGTGGAACTCACCTGTGGACCATGCAAGGTAGAATGCCCAGTCAACAGGGGGTTGGTAACAGGGGGTTTGGGGATCTTCTGTTTACCACATCTGATGCTCGCACCCTCTATGCCTTCACCCCCAGCCAGCCCAATGGTGTTGCACTGGATGTTGCCAGGTGGTCTCATGGATTCAAATTCTTTCTCAGGTTGAGAAGAGATGCTCTTAGTAACAGAGCTTCATGATTTTGGTTCTTTCTGGGAAACAACTCTTGGGAGGGGAGAGAGAAATTCCATGCAGGCCAGCCACAAAGCATGGGATGTATGGGAATAGGGGACAGAGGTGAGGGAGAGCTGGGCACAGTGCAAAGGCCCTCCAAGATGTGGGTTGGATATGGGGCGAGGGGGCTCTAGGGCAGCCAGTGGTTTGCAGAGTGTGTTGGCAGGGGCTGCAGGATAGACCCCATCTCACAGAAAGGCTAGGAGTTTCTTCTTCCCACCACAGGGCAGACTCATCAGAGCTCCAGCTTCCAGGCCAACTGAGGGGCCCAGGCACCACTTTGGAAACTGCTGTGCTAGGAAGAGGCAGTGTCGTGAATGGCGTCTAGTTTAAGTCCATGTTAATTAGAGAATATATAATTATGATTGTCATAAACCATGGTATGGTATTCCTTGTGCTTATTCTGCTTGGAGTTTGTTGAGATTCTTACATCTGTGTTTGGATTTTAAAATTTAATTTGGGAAAACTTTTGGCCATTATTTCTTCAAATACGTTTTATGTCCTCTCATTCCTGTCTTCTGTGACTTCAAGTATCTGTGTATCAGATACAATGACCCTTAAGTCACTCAAACTTTTTACTTTTTTTCATTTTCATATGTCTATTTTCTCTCTGTGATTAATTTTAGATAGTTTTAATTGCATTTTCCTCATGATATTTTCATCTGCCATATCTAATTTGTTATTAATCCCACTTAGTATGCATTTTATGTCAGGTTTTTTTTTTTTTTTAATTTCCACTTTGTATGTTCCATTTACCTCCTCATTATGGTCATACTTTCATTTATATTCTTGGACATATCTTTAATATTTATCATTGCTCTTTTCAGATCCTAACTGGCTATTTTTATCACTCTTGTCATTTTGGGATCTGCTTCTATTGTTTTATTTTTCTCCTGGTTATGGGTAATATTTGCCTGTTATTTCACATGGCTGATGATTTTTGATTGGGTGCTAAACACTGTTTTTCATCTTTGAGTGCTGATTCTGTTGGATTCCTTTAACGAGTGTAGGACTTTGCTCTGGACTGCAGTTACTTATGGAACCATTTGGCCTCCTTGAGGCAGGCACCTGAGATTTGTTAGTGTAGCCCTTCTAGGATGAATTTAGCCCCATTTCTAAGGTTTGACCCTCTTAGGATTGTACCCAACACCCCACGTATCATGAGGTCTCTCCATTCTCTCTGATGGAAGTACTGAGTAGCCTCTCTGTGTGGGCCCCAAGTGTTATTGGACCTGCACTTTGTAGGGGGTCTTTCTGCGGCCTTATGGAGTCTGACCCATGCATTGCAGTTCACTCCTCAATGCACTGTGAGGCCCCCTGAGGTTCACTCCTCAAAGCACTAGTGAGGCCCCCTGAGGTTCTCCAGAGCCCTCTCTGCAGACCTCCTCCCTCTCTGGCATCCTACCCTGCACATCCTCACTGCTTCAACCTCTTCTAGAGAAGAGCCTGGGCTCAGAGCTGGGCCTGTCCTGTACTGGTTCCTGGGAACTGCCTCTAGGCTGCAAGCTGGAAAAAGGGAGGGCTCAGCTCTTTGGTTTCTGCATTCACCTGAATCACAGGTACCTGCTACCTGTTGTCTAATAGTTGAAAACAGCTATTTCACATATTTGGTTTATTTCATGAGGAGGTCAATTCCCAGAGCACTTAACTCTTCACGATGCATAAGAAGCCAAGTGGGTATAAGGTTTTTGTGATTTAGTTTATCCTTAAAATGACTTTCTTTTTAGGGCTGTCTTGTCAGTCCATTTACTCATCTTAAAGATCAAAGAGTACAGTGTGAAGGGGACCTGCCTCCACCCTGCCTCTCTCGGCTCTGGGCTGTGATTCTCTGCACAGACCACGTTGCATGTGGCCGTTTGCCTGTCTGTTTCCCTTGTTGGGTGGTGATGCTCTTGGAGAATGGGAGCCAGAACTCGTCATCCTGGGACCACACAGCTAACCGTGACCTGGCCCCTAGTAGCAGTGAGTATGTGTGTGTGTCCGTGTGTGCACATGTGTAGGAGTACATGATAGACATGTGGGTGCTTGTTTAAAAGCAACTCCAGCCTAAGGCAGGGACTGAGAAAGAGCAGATTTCCATGCAGCCCCTTCCATGCAGCCCCTTCCCTCCCCAATGGGTGCTTCAGCTCAGCTCCCAGCTGTGTGCCAAGCAGCAGAATGTGCACCTGCAAACTCTCTGCCCCTTTTCCCTTCTTCAGAAAACAAGTCCTCTTAAAGGAGGAGATTAGATTCACTCCAGTAACACGAAGGGCTTCACTGGATGATCAGCTTGGCAAGGAAGATGCTAAGTTAAGTTTTGTGGGATGGTGCCGTGACCTATATAGGGAGGCCTCCATCTCTGCTGCTGGGACTGTGCTGCCCAGGCGGCTGTAAGCATCGACAGGGAGGATTAGAAGCGTGAGCTCCACCTGGATTTGCCTCCCTGCGGTCACAGAGCAGAGCGTGGAGCTTCCGTGTCCCTGAAATGTCCACCCGATGAGCTCATAAACCCATGGTGTCCTCCTGTGGCACTCCCTGGGTTCCTTGGGTGGGGGCTGCTGACCATCAGCTTATAGGCCTCGTCCCCAAGGTGGGGTTAGAGGGAACAAACGGGTACTTGCTTCCCTCAAGGTCAGAAGGCACAGCTCTGCTGTGTGCCACACCTCAGGGGAGAAGGGGGTGGGGGGCTGTGGTGGCTGGGAATGAGCTTGCAAACCAGAGGGCAGTCGTGAGCTCTGATGTGGTCCCTCAGGAAGCCTGCAGAGTCAGCGCTGAGTGTGCTGGCTCAGCACTACCTGGCTGAGCCGTTTCTGGCTCACACAGAACAGCAGCCACCACACCGGGCATCCTGTAAGGGCAGCTCACTCACTCCCAGATAATAAGGAGGAGCCTGAGGCCCAGAGGGAGGCCACAGTTTGCACAGTCTTCAGGGGAAGCACTGAACACCAAATTCACAGTCACGCTCCAGGTTCTTGGGTGACGAAAGGTGAGAATTTAGAGAAACTGTCAAGGCCTGCCTGGTTATTAGACCAAAAGAATCACATTCTACATCAAGATGGAGATGGGAACTTTCATCTGTCCTCCAATCATCATCCATCAATCCCATTCCCACTCACCCATCCACTCACCTATTCATCCATCCACTCATCCATTCACTCACCCATCCCATCACCTATCCATCCATCCATCCATCCATCCGTCCATCCATCCATCCATCCATCCATCCATCCATCCATCCACTCACCCATTGCATCACCTATCTATCCATCCATCCATCCATCCATCCATCCATCCATCCATCCATTCACTCACCCATTGCATCACCTATCTATCCATCCATCCACCCATCCATCCATCCATCCATCCATCCATCCATCCATCCCTCCATCCAATTATTCACTCCTTGATTTCCCTCACATACTTATTAAATGCCTGCTATGGACCAGCTGCTATTCTAGGACCAGAGAGGTATCAAGCAAGAGGTAAAGAAGACAGACAAGTTTCCTGCCTTGCCAAGTTTCCACTGAATTTTATCTTCTCATAGGAAAAGCAAAGCAAAACACCAACAGCCACCATCACTGTTATGGAACAAATGTGTCCCACAAAACACATATTGAATCCCTGATCCCCAGTGTGATGATATTTGGAGATGGGGCCTTTGGGAGGTGATTGGGGTTAGAGGAGATCATGAGGGAAGGGCCGTAACCATGAGACTGGGCTTCTTATAAAAAAAAGACATCAGAGTGTGTTTTTTCTCTTTTTCTCTCTCTCCCCTCTCTCTTTCCCCACCCCCTGCCTTGCTCTGCCTCTCTCTCCCTCATCTCCCTCGTGCACACAGAGCAGGTTCTGGGAGCACCTGGCAAGGAGAAGGTGGCTGCCTGCAATCAAGAGAAGAACCTGCCTCTTCCAGAACTGTGAGAAACAAACTTCTGTTGTTTAAGCCTCTAGTCCATGGTATTTTGTTGGTAGTACGAGCCGACTAACGCAACCACTAACAGCAACTAGGACACAATATGAAGGATTTTTATTTCCTAGAGCAAAAAGCAGCCCAGGCGGGTAAACGCGTTTATTGACATGGATGAATGTGCATCTCAGCTTCAAATTTGGTTTCAAAGAGCATCAAAGAGATAAATCCATAGCTTCTATCTGGTTAGCAACCTTTTAAAGAAGCAACTTGCTTACATGGAAGCATGGCCTGTGTCTTTCACAGAATGGCACGAAGCTCCTGCGGTGCCCTGTGCTGCGGCCACTGGGTCTTCTGGGAAAGCCCCTGAGCCTCATCTCAGATCCTGTTCGACCTTCACTGATCTCTAAACGGTGGATGTTTTCTTGCTTCATGTCTTCGCAGAGCAGTGATTTCTCAGTGGGGAGGAGGTGGTGATCTCCAGGTGCTCTTTGGTCAAGTGAACTCTGGAAGCCAAACACGACGACCTGCCAGTGTCTTGATGCCATGAGCCGATGGCCAGCAAAGAGCTCTCAGGAGCCGCCTCGCTGCTCAGCAGACTGGGATTTCAGGTTTGGGTTTCAGGGCACGGAAAGCGGTCCCAGGGCTCGTCTGGCTCAACATCTTGTTTTAGCCATGAGGAAATCACGGGAGAGGAAAAGGGTTCCCAAGGGTCCCTGCTGTGCCTTTTTTTCTTTCTTTCTTTTTTTTTTTTTGAGACAGAGTTTTGCTCTTGTTGCCCAGGCAGGAGTATAATGGTACAATCTCAACTCACCACAACCTCCGCCTCCAGGGTTCAAACGATTCTCCTGCCTCAGCTTCCCAAGTAGCTGGGATTACAGGCATGCGCCACCACGCTCACTAATTTTGTATTTTTCATAGAGATGGGGTTTCTCCATGTTGGTCAGGTTGGTCTCAAACTCCTGACCTGAGGTGCTTTGCCCGCCTCAGCCTCCCAAAATGCTGAGATTACAGGCATGAGCCACCGCGCCCAGCCTCCTGCTGTGTCCTTCTAAGTGAGAAGTGCACTGCGTTTGGCTCAGATCATCGGTGGGGACGTTGGATCCCTGGCCTACCTCTGTTCCTAGGAAGAAAAGGCCACATCCCTTCCCAGGACACCAGGACCAGCAGCAACTCCTGGCAGTGGCCTCTTGGCTGCAGTCTTTTCTGAAAAACACTTCCAGTGTCCTCGGCTTGAGGTCAGGCTGTGCAAGGGAGGCAGTGCCCTGTGGGTCCCCAGATGACGTGGAAACATCAGCCTTGAACCCTCAAAGATGAAGCATCCCCATGGGGCCGGTCAAGAGGGGCTTCTGGCCCTCAAGGGGTGAGGGTCTCTATTTCCCCTCTTGCCAGAGACCATTTTGAAAAGTCTCACGAGACTCTCTGAGATCTGCATTTCAAGCTCCAAAAGGTCTTTGTGAACAGTTTTCATCAGTTTGGTGCTAATGAAGCTGAGTTTGGAGATCTCAGGGCAGTCTCTGCCCCTGGGCATCTGCTTCCTGTGCTGCTGCACTCTGAGGTCTGTAAGAGGCACATTTCTCAGAGGAGAAAGACCATGTGAAAAGCAAAGTTGGAGGGAGAGCCCGGTGTGCATTCATGCAGGCACACACGCGATGGTGGGGGCCCAAGGTGGCCTGGGGATTCTCTCCCGTCCCGCCCCAGGGCAGATGCTTTGAAAACCCCTCCCCTTGAGAGTGGGAGACCCTGTGAATATGACTGAATGGCATTCTCATGATTAGGTGACGTTCAATGGAAAAGAAGATGGGATTTTGCAGATGTGATTAAGGTTTCTAATCCATTGGCTTTTAGTTAATCAAAAGAGAGATTATCTTCGTAGAACTCATCTAGCCAAGTGAGCCCTTAAAGCTAACGTTTTTCAACTGGTCTTTTAAAACCCTGTCAGCCATATGTTGGCAACCGTCCCTGGTGGGGGGCACAGGGTAAAAACCCCAAGAGGTGAGCATGGCCCCAGAACACAACCACCAAGAGAGTTATGGTCATTAAAAACGGAGTGATGTCAACAACATGAATTATCTTAGAAGAAGACCCTGAGCCTTAGATGAGAGGGCTGCCTAGCAGGCACATCTAATGCCCTGGTCAATGGTGGAAGACCAAATGCGTCCCTCCTAAGAGCAGGAACACAGCAATCAGTCCCCTCCCTGCAAGCCTCAGCCTGGCGAGGCCCTGAGAAGAGGACCCGGGTAGCTCAGACACGGACTCCTGACTCACAGGGACTGTGTGATATTCAATGATATCATATTATTCATTCATATTGTTATGTAGCTGTATAGTAATATCATAAACATTCATTCATATTATTATAAATGTTTTTGAATTGGCTTTTGTTGCTCAGCATAATTTCTGCAGATTCA